TATGTTAACATTCGTTTCAAATTTCATTTTATTTATATTTAGAAAAATAATACCAAAAGAAAGAAAGAAAAGACGTAAATACGAACAAGCGGATGTTAATTCTTTGGAAGCAACAAAGACTGACATCATTGGAAACTGCTAGCGTAAAATTCGGTGTGCCTAAAAGCACACTTTATATTAAAAATAAGAGAAAAGTCTCAGTTGAAGGATCTAAATCTATGTACAAGATAGTCAATGCAGATGAGAAAGAAAGCCTTACTACACTATTCATGGTAAATGCAGCAGGATGTATGGTTTCACCCATGATAATGTATATGTACATACAATGTATCCAGTACTTTTCCAAAAGGCTGGCATATTATCAGAAAAAGGATGAATGACTGCATTTTATGAGTTTTAAATTGTTTTCATCCAACTGCTTGTAAAAAACAATATTGAATTTCCAGTCATTTTATATATCGACGGACATTCATCTCATTTGACGTTGTCAGTGATTGAATTTTGTCGAAAAGTAAATATCGAATTAATTGCATTATATCCCAATGCTACTCATATTTTACAATCGCTAGACGTTGCTATATTTCATCTATTTAAAAATGTTTGGAAGGAAGCAATTAATAATTGGCGATTAGAAAATGAAGGTGAACGTTTCAAAAGAGAAAATTTGCTCCTTTATTAGAAATAGCACTAAATTCTATTAATTTAACAAAAATCATAAAAAACAGTTTTGAAGCTTGTGGTTTATTACCATTTTTGTAATTTATTGCTGATGCAATAAAATACAATATTTTGAACAAAAATAAAAAAAATATAAGACGAACAAGAAAGCAATGCCACAAATATTTTGAATAATGATCAAATCGAATATCAAACACATTTTTGAAAAGAATTTAGATAATAACTTAAAATTTAAATTATAAAGTTTCAAAGCAGCGCTAAATGGATCAAACAGTTGAAAATGAATTCAAAATGAAGATTTATTGGAATAAATATAAAATTGAAAAATCGATCGAATATAATTTTTCAAGTTGAATATATTTAGTAATTTATATTTAATATATATTTAGTAATTTGAATTTGATTAAGTTTTCCTACACCTTATTGTATTTAATCTGATCGATTTTCTTGTATAATATTGTTTATTAAATAAGATTATAAATATGATATTTTATAATTTTATAATTAACTTAATCTTACTAATTAATTTAGGAGAAGACATTATTATCGAAGAATATAAAGAAACAGAAAATAATGTACTTTCTCATTTAAAAAATAATAACATAGGCATACTAATAAAATCAGATATAGATATGAATGCTCTAAACAGCTACAGATCCAAATTTTGGTTCTGAAACATATTTAAATGAAATTATTGATTCTTCTAATTTATAATGAAGAAAATATAGAAACTATTTGGACACAAGCAATAAATATCACTAATATTGATGTCTCGATAAATTGTATACTACAAGGTTTGAAATTATATCATATATTTTATGAATTAATATGTAGTAAGCATTTCTATCTAATAATAGATTATTCTTCTAGATTATTCTTCTAGATTCAGAACAATGCGATTTAAACAATTCAATAATTAATAATACAGTACTAATTCCCATAATTGTGTTTCTACAAATGATACTACTCCAGATAAATTAACAAAAGAAAATGAATCCGCTATGCCACTGGTTCTTTTTCCATTTAAGAAAGCTCTATTTTGGCCAAAATTGACTGAAAAAAAAATTAAAAGAAAAAATTCCAACGGTTGTTACATCTGAGAAATGGTTAAAATATCATTTAAATAAAGAAAATTAAAAAATTAAAAAGCGACAAGAAATAGAAGAAAGACGCAAGAAAAGAGAAACAGTCAAAGAGAGAAAAAAAACAGAAAAATGAACTAGGAAAGATTATTAAAACAGAACAAACAAAAAAGCGGAAGAAAAATGCGAAAAATAAGAAATATTGTCAATTACAATATTCTTATGTTACTTATGTTATTAGAGAATATATTAAATTGGTTGGTTTTTTAGTATTGTACGTAAAAATTAATTTTATACATGTTTTATCAAAATATATAATAGATTTCAATATTATAAGCTAAAAATAAACATTTCTTAAATATATTGCTCATAAAAAGGTCATTTAGAATCATTTTTATAGTTATAACCTTATGATGTTCAAACACTAAGTCAGCTTCGTTCAAGGATTAGGACAAGTACGTTTTGATCATTTAAATACTAAGATTTTTACATAATTCAAAATTTTATTATATTTCTATATAATAAAATCAATAAAAACAATTGTATACATGCTTTTTAAATAGTAAAAATATCAATTTACACGATAAATAGAAATTCTCAAGAATATTTCATATTTTTATATATTGAAAATATTAATAAATGGATATGTACCCTTAATCATTCAATTATTGGGACATTTACTTTAATAGAAAAGAGACACCATTTTTCAAACTTTTTTTTGTTAACACAACTGATAGAAGCCTATATTTATAGTCGAAACTGCATCTTCAATATTTTTGTTTAAATAATTATATACTAATGTAAATAAATATAAAATGTATACACTAATGTAAAACTATATACTAATGTAGTACGTAGTTATTTGAACTACGCCCGAAATGATTTGTCGAATCTTATAAATCAAACTACTAATAATATCACAAATTAAATTGATAAGCACTTGAATAATTTGATGCTCAGTCTGGCATCCTATTAGAAAGATGTTAATGTACTGAAAAACTGAAAAATAAATTTATTGTGAAAAATATTACCTCAACCGGGAGTTGTACCCGGATCTTTTGTATTCCGTACGAGCATCTTACACTTTTAGACTATCGATTTTTTTGTTAATAACTTTTTAACGAACTGTAATTGCTATCTAAAACCTGCTGAGAGTGACTCAAGATTATGAGCTTGACAACATATGTCAAGATCAAAGTCATTGAGGCGATGTCCCTTAAAATATATAATTATCAAAAAATCATCTCATTTGCGAAAAATAACCTAACTACAACATAATTCCCTTTTACTGTAATCAATATAATATCAATAGAATAGAATTTCATAAAACTTGCCGTGAAATATCGGTCACCATTCTACTGCATGCAATCGATTGTGAATTCGCAAAATATTCTTCAAAAGTTTTTTCCTTTGCTGAATTGTAATTCCTTAGAAATTCATACAAGAACACAATAAAAATATTTCAAGAAGTTTCATATTTCGAATTTTTGAGAACTTCTTAAAGCATTCATATAGTATTCCCTCTATATCAATAGATATACCTTATAAATTCAAAAAGAGAAGTTAGAATAGGCATATAGGGTTATAAAATATCCAGTAAGATTCAGTTCACAACTCATGGTTAATTCTTAACCAAGGTTCAACTTATTCATTACCTCTTTCCAATTCTAGAATTGGAAGAGATAAGAAATAAGTTGTACCGTGAGTTGTGAAATTGGTCTTAAATCTTAAAATTTGTGCAAGTTGCATGTTTCATACCATATTATTATGCTACCACATCATATTATTAGCTCTTCCAACCAACCCGGCCACAACCTGGGCCATATCAGTTCTAAAATGTAAGTAACAAGTCCAAAAATAAGAAAATAAATATGAAAGAGCTCGGCAATTTGACAAAAATTAGGAATAATGCAACACTCAAGCCGAGACGAAATCATCCCGATACATGCTCGATAGAGAACTTCGTATTTGGCCACGTTTATGATCTTTCGATCGCGCATGCATATACTTGCAATTCCTCATGAATTCTTAGAGTATTCGAAGTACTAAGTCGCAAAGTATTCATTGTAATGAATTGTGAGGAATATTTCAAGACAACTGTAATTGTAATTAATTCTTCAAGAAATCAGATATTTATTTTTCTAATCCTGTATGTCTTTAAAATAAAGAACTCTCTCTCTATGAACTCTATTCACCTCTGTGCTGGGAATTTTCGTGCTGCATCCCTTATGCGCGAAAATCACCCTAAAGCATGCGTACGAGAAAGAAATATCAAAAATAACAACAAATTTGGAATTTTTTCCATTGTAATCCCTTTACTGATTTTATTGCTCGCAAAAGATATATTGATTTTTATTATTCCACTCTCATTTGTGGAAAATAACAGTAAAAATAAGCGATATGAGTCATATGAGCTTGATATAAGGATATAATTTCTTCTCAATGTGGAACTATATTCGGACCGATATACCCATCTATGATATGCGACACATCTAACAATTATAAGTTAACCTTTGGGGTAGTTCTTGCACATAAGGAATGGAGCATGAAATCGTTTGCATGGAATACATTTTGTAGGACAGTGCACGATATTTCACAGAAAGTTTCATGAAATTCTGATTGATTTTACAGCAAAAGGGACATGTATGATATAGAGATTGTTTTCCGCAAATGAGATGATTTTTTTGCGTAAAAAATAACGCTCTGAAATTTAAATTAATTTATATTACGAGCGTATAATTAGCATTAAATTATAATATTAGTGTTATTATTTTTTTTAATGTGCATTCTAACTTTATTAAAAGTTAGCAAAAAGTTATTTCTCGCTAAACAGTTAGAGCAATAAAATCGAGATTAGCCACAAAGAACTGAATTCTCCGTTTGTCTCATATAATTACGTTCACTCAATTAGCATTCTAATTTAATAAATATAGAAGATTTTTTCTTGTCTCTTCTTTTTCGCTTTCATCCTTCATCTCTCAGGATGTTGTTAATATTTGATTAAAACGAAATCTCTTTTTTTAAATTATTATCGTAATTTACAGGTAATCTCTTTTGATTAACTTTATAAATAATAATCATATATTTCTCCTTCGTTAAGAAATTAAATAAAAATGATAATGATAGTTTAGAAAAGTTTAGAGAAGTTTCAAAATATCCCATAATTAATATTAATATTTCCTCATGTGTCCGAATTGAATTAAAAGGATAATATTTGTCGATAATATTATATATACTCACATCTGTTCTGCTAACTTATAAATTGGTCCCATCGATTTGGACAGTTCTTCGCACTTAGCCATTAATTGATACATTGATTTTATATTATGATCCACAGCGTCACAAGTCTTACACACTGCATCTCTGTATGTTTCTAAACAACCGACTGTGAGAGCTGAAGCCTGGAAGCAAGAACGAATAATTTAAATACAATATATAAAATAACATGACACAAAATAAGACTTAATGACAGTTACTTACGTTTTGTAGAATCGCGGCTAAATTTTCAGTCAGTGCGTCCACAGAGGTTGCAACTTTTCTAGCTTCCATCTCTAATTCATTTAATACATTATGATCAAGAGATGGTAATTGCGGAGTTAAGGCCTGTCTATACAAGCATGGGGTTGAACTTCGTGATCCCGGAAACGATGGAATATCTCCTTTTTTAGTCACAGGACTCGACAATTTGATCTTGTTCTCCAGATTTTCAGTTACAAATAACACCATATCTCCATCTTGCATTACTCTTCCCTCCAATTGCAGGTAACCTATAGCTTTATGATAACTCGGTGGATCGTCGACTTCTGTTGGACTGCCGTCTCTACTTCTCAAATTTAATTGATCCGGTCTATGACCAGCTCCTCTTATTTTCTCTAAACTATCATTTAGAAATTTTCCGCTGTCAATATCTGGAGAATCAATGAGTGATCTCAATTCAGAGATGGGTGGTGAAGATTGCGAATCAAACGATATCTCAGAATAAGACGCTGTCATCTCGTGCAACTGAAACGATAAAATTATTAAATATTGATAAATGTTGATCCTGTATCATACATATAGTAAATAAATCGATAAACTTTATGATGCAATACTGATATGTTTAAAGTTAGTTACAGTTAAAGTACAGTTAAAGAAATCCTAAAGTCGTTTGTTTTATCAATTAAATATAATAATTCGTAGAACGATATTGCATATATATTACTTTTACATAGATTTCGAAATCCTTCTCCAGAATTAAAGTATAGGCATTAATACGTATTTGTAATTTGGAATTTTTGTTGAGAACAACAAACATTTTTAAAATATGTAATCTTTTTTACTATTTCTTAGTCCAAAAAGTGTTTAGAACTGTCAAGTTGCGACAACATTTGTTTAATACAAAAATTCCGCAATCTGTACTATTCTATTATTAGAAAATTTTTAATTTTTTTTATTTTACATTAGTATAAACTCAAGCCTCTTCCTAATTTTGCATCTATTTCAATTCTGTAAAAGGATTTTCGATTCCGTTCAGTCAATTCGGAGATTTTTATACTTAGCTGTATCAATAATTTCATCGTAAATTATAAGAACCGATATAAATATCAGCCTATATCTTATTTTCTGAACAGCGAGAAAGATATCAAATTTATTTAAAATAAATGTCTCAGTGACCGGACATGTATCTATGGCCGGATACTTACACTTAATTTATTACTGTTAATCTCAAATGTTCTT